CAATCTTATTTGAGAATAATATATAATCTGTTTGAAATATTTTCTTCATAAGTTGCTAGGAATTCTTCTGTCTCATCAACTGGAAAGTCATTTGTCACCAATTATCCAGCTGGGTTACTCCTGAGAAAATATTCTTCCTCCTCCAGCTATATTTCCTGACAGAAATCTCTAAATAGCATTGTTAAAGACAAGAGGTATTTGATTTTACAATCAAATTGGTGAAACTGAGTTATCAACCAGTCAAGAATGAAGGTGAGAATCTATATTCAAAGATTTCATTATTCTTTAGCCACAAACTATAAATTTAAGTTTCAAAAAGGCATTATTCATAACTTTTGTTAATCATTCCTGTATATCAAAGGTCTTTAAATAAGTTGAGAAAATGGATACACATGATAGGACATTAGGAAAGTAAAGGAAAGACTTTTTAAAAGAAACTGCACAACGCTTGATTAAATGAAAATTAATTAGTGCAAGCTACAAATGAATCACTGGGTTGGGGCTACAAAGCAGCTTTTATTTATTTATTCATTTTTTGTGTTTATTTATTTTGAGAGAGAGAGAGAGAAGGGGGGAGAGAGGGAGGGAGAGAGAGAGAGAGAGAGAGAGAGAGAAACAAGCAGGGAAGAGGTAGAGAGAAGGAGAGACAGAATCCTAAGCAGGATCTGCATCATCAGTGCAGAGCCCTATGCAGGGCTCAAACTCACCAACCACAAAATCATGACCTGAGCCAAGATCAATAGTCAGGTGCTTAACCAACTACACCACTCAGGTGCCCCCAGGGCAGCTTTTAAAGGCTGCTGTGCCAATTGGGTCTGAAGCCAGGCATCCACTTACCTTGCTCTAGATCTCATGCTGCCAAATGCTATACATTTTTTTTAGTGGTTCCCTTTTACACTGTAGATTTCCCCAGGCTAGACCTTTCTCATTGCCTCAAGTCCACTTGATCACTGCCACTTTTCCTGCTCTACACCATGGACCTGGTGTCCTACTTTGCTGAATTGTGAAACGACACCTAAGGTAATTATACAGTATGAAATGACTGCCTTGATATGCAAAGCCTCCCTTGCGCCAGCCTTCAAACATCCCTACTTATTCACTATCCCTTACTTCAAATATCCTATTTATTCATTAAAGAGTAGCTCTGAACACTTATTATCTACCAGTTACTATGCTACTCCAAATATCTAATTTCATTTTCTAGTCTGTTAGATTATATATTCCTTAAGATTCATTAATTATTGATTTAGAGGATGACAGGTTATAAAAACTCGCATAGTACAGGTATCATCTAATTTACCCCTCTGCTTTATATACAAAGGAATTAAACCTGGATAAGAACTCAAGGTTTAAAGAGAAGTTTGTTATAAAAGTCTAAACTAAAAGCTAAGTTTCATTCATTATGCTTTGTTAAGGAAGTTGGTTGCATTGCCCACTTATATCCATTTATGTGTCAGCATTAAAACTTTGTTCTCTGAACCTGTAATAGCTTACCAACCTCTAATAATTATCAACCAGAAGAACATTGGGATAATGGAAAGTAAACTGTTAATCTGTGCTTTTGGTGATGGGGAACCAGAAATCCAATCAGAATGAGAACTGTTAAAATCTAATCTATAACAGTAGCACCTAAAATATTCTCCATATTTTCTAATTCTCAGTCTCCATTTTCTGAGCTCTTTAAAGCCACTGTACCTTAATGCAAGCCTGCTGAGCAGCTGGTGTACTATCCTCAGAGCTCCTGATCTTCAAACACAATGTATCAGTATGAGTGCATTCAGAGTTCTTGCTGTATACAATCAGATGCAAAGGGCCACTCATGCAGGACAACTGATTTCATAAGGAGGTTATCAAGGTTTTAACTGAAGGGTTTTGACCACTCCTTCCAGGATTATGGATTAACCTGGTTGTCTATGGTCATTAATCCCACCCTCTCTGAGCCACATATCCTTTGAGATGAGCTGAACTCATTTTCAGAAAAACCTCCTGAAAGTAAATAAATGTATAGATGATTCCCTACCTCCAAGAGATCAAAATATAATTTCTTGGCTACAGACTTTTAAATCCTGAATGATATTTCCTGGATATTAGAACCAGATATTTCCTGGTCTCTGAAACATAACATTTGTCCTTTTCCAAATTTTATCACAAAATTTTTCAAACCTACAGAAAAATTGAAAGAGCAGCATAGTGAACAGCTACATACCAATGATAAAATTAAACAAGCATTACTCTTTTGCATATTACTTTCTGCTTTCTATGTTTTACTACCTGAACATTTCACTAAAGAAAATCCTACAAGTGAAGTGTACTCAGATCCTCTGAATGCTCTCCTCTCCACCTCCCTTGTGCCTGCCAATATGTGTGTGGATCTCAACGGGAGAGGAGTTTTAGGGTAAATAGGAAAAGTGACTATATACAGTGAAATGAACCCTACCATGGTAATTTTAACTGAATTCCTTTTACTTATATATTGCAAATGAACCTCCTGGAGTTGAGAAGGGAGCATGTGGTGTACATTAAACTTCTAGCCATGAAACAAATCATTCTATTATTTATCAGTAAAGACTGGAATAGGATACTTGTAAATATCCTGAAAAATGTGTTATCAATTTCAAAGTCAGAATTAACTATACAACTGATAGAACAATTACAATTCATGTGCCTTCTCTGTCTAGTAGTGTTAATTTCATGCATGTCAGATGTGTTTGACACCTCTTGTTGGAAGAGGGGATAAGAGAAAGATGATTTCCTATTGTTGTGAGTTTGAGTTACAGCAATGTCTTACGGTCTCAATGATAAGCCTGAGCAATCATCAATGTTTTTGTCTGAGTATAAATGACATAAAGAAGCCATATTTATCATCTGTATTGGTCCTCTCTTTTCCTTCTCAATTCCAAAGACATCTTGATTGTTGATTTTCCCATCCATTCAACTTTGCTATGTGAATTCAGAATTGACAGACAACCTTTACTGAGCATGTTTATGGTGTAGATGCTTTCTCAGTGCTGGGTATACAAAGGAGAATACAACTTGTTCTCTGCTTTCAAGGTGAGTGTTCCAAGGAAATGGGAAGAGTTAAGGTAATTTCTGCCTGATTGCACAATTAAGTGGTTTGCTGGACAAATGCCTCCAGCACTAGGTCTGGTCCTTTGCCAGAACTTGTCACTTGCCAGTCCTCCCCCTCATTTACTGCTGAGTAGGTAATGCTATTTCTACGCTTCCTTCATCCTTCTTCAGGATTCTGACCACGCTCTGTGCGTAACTCTTAAAAAGTGAAAAACCTCTTTTCATCCCCCATCTTCCCCACGCCTGCATGGTCACCCTCTCATCAAAGTCTTTGTGACACCTAATTTGTTTTAAAGTTTATTTATTTATTTATTTTGAGAGAGAGAGAGAGTGAGTGAGAGTGAGCGAGCGAGCAGGGCTGGAGCAGAGAGAGAGGGAGAGAGAATCCCAAGAAGGCTCCACAGTGGCAGCACAAAACTCCAGTGGGACTCAAACCCACAAACTGTGAGATCATGACCTGAGCCAAAATCAAGAGTTGGTTGCTTAACCAACTAAGCCACCCAAGCACTCTACACCAAATGTTTTATAGTTCAATCCAAGTGGTAAATGTAGCAAAATGTATCTGCTAACAGAGTTCTTTCCATTAGAGCTTTCAAAGTCCACCACTTTCGTAGAATCTTTGCAGACACTGCCCGTCAATTTATCTCTCTGCTGTTACTCTATTTTGTATGGCATGCATGTGAACACTGCCCATATCCAGTCCATCTTCTTACCTCTCGTGGCTGACAGACTACAGACATGCTCCCTCTGTGCCTCACCCTTATCCACTCTCCTTTGATAGCCAAATGCCACTTAGTCTAAAAAATATGATCAGCAAAGAGGCTGGTTCATAAGGACCCAAACACTGTCAGACACACTGAATATGCCAGATAATGAAAACAAAACATAACAGATAAGAAAAATGTGGAAGTGAGAAGCATTCCCAATGTAGTGATTAAGAGCTGTGGCTAGGAACTTGGATCTGAGTTCAAATCTCATCTTCATAGCTTACTTTCTTTGAGATTTTAGGCAAGTTGTATCAGCTTCAGTTCAGCTTCAGTTTCCTTATTTGAAAAGAAAAATCATAACAGTTTCTAAATCATGAAGTTGTTGTAAGGATTAACTATAATAATGCATGGAAAGCACTGATGCTGTAACTCAACATCTGACCACTAACCCCTAATAAATGAATAATACAATTGTTGCTACCATCAAAATTATGATAAGGTAACCACACATTTATGTAAACCATAATAGATCAGAGAAAATCGAACATTTAAGGATTTGGAGCGTCTTCAAAATAATGCAAAAGAATCATTTATATTGTAATAATGTAGTTCTTCAGATAGATATCTTTTTTCCCCATTTTCTTTCAGGAAACCACCTATTGATTTCAATACAAAAATAAACTTTAAATGGAGAAACTTTTAGTTTGTAATTCACCCTCACGTATAGAGTAGAGCATCACAACTGCTTACTGACATAAAAGTTCATTACTAGTAAACATGAGGTAACAACTTTATTTATTTGCAAATCTGATTACTCCTTGGAAGGTGAGAGGACACAAAAAGCCTTCCTGTCATCAGAGAACCAGACCCAGTTCATGCAGCTTAGGAGAAATTTATGAAATTCAGCATTTCTATTTTTTTCCATTTTAATAAAACCATATATCCCAGCTATTTTGATTGCTTATCCTTACTCCTTAAAGAAAGCAGCTTTAGGATCAGCAGTTGATGTTAGAAGATAATTCAGAAAAACTTATTCTTAGCTACAGCTAAGTCCCTTTGTATACATGCTCCCCTAAGCTCTCAGATATCTACAGGATAGGAGATTTAACTACTTATCATAGAACCAAAGGAGGAATAAGGAAAACAGCACAATATTCCCCTCCAATAAAAATCAATAATGATTTCATTCAGGAAAAGTTCAATTTTGAAATGGACACTACAGACCTGAGGCCATAAAGAACGGTCCCATCTGGATGCAGGCGGATCATGCGGTTCTTGACAGTCACTCCGTGCACAAATGACTTCTTATCATTCAGAAAGTAGGTATCAGGCACCCAGAGCTGGTCTGCTACTCTATTGTCCAGAGTCAAGTTTAAAGGTATTACATTATAGGACAGCCTCTTATCTCTCCAGGCTTGCTGAAAGTACATTGTCAAGGTATAATCCTGTGAATATGAAAAGAAAATGGTTATTTTATACCCAAACATACTTGGGAGAAAGGCAAACACTTTAATATTCATAAGAAAAGAAAATATATACAGCCACACCCCAGAAACATATACTATTCACATACAGGCAAGTATTAATTTATTAAACCCATTCCTAACGAACACTTACTATGTGTCAGGCACCACGCTAGGCACTGTAAACACAGAAGTGAAAAGAGCATATCCTGGTAAGATTTATTATCTATTTTGCCCAGGAAGATAGATGGTAATGAATAATTACTTAGTCCATCAATGAGAATCCTAACCTGTCTAATCAATGTGGATTTCCCAGGAGAGGTAACATTTACAATAAGAAGATTTGTGTAGCTTCTCAGCTATCTAAACAATATTAACTCAGTATTTCATGAGAATTTTAATCCCCAGATACTAAATCATCAGGCCAGGCTCTTAGCTTTTGAGAAACAATGGGTTGCTATAAAGTGAGCACTGGTCTTGGAGTCTTAGCTCCAGTATTTCTCAATTGTTCTAGCATGTTAATTTACACAACTTCTTTTTGCTTAAGTTCCATGAACTATAAATGGGGCTTTCACTACATACCTGATCTACACAGATTATGACCATTACATGTATAACTCAAATGCAATTTGTAAACTATAAATACTTATATATTATGAATAAAGCATTTATTGTGCATGTTTTATCCATTAGAGGCCTATGGGCACAATGTAATTGGTCTCTCATCCCCATCTGAATGACTTAATGAAAGACCAAATATTCATTGGAAAGGATAATTACCATTTTATCTTAAAATCAGTTCACAGTGCCCTAACTTGAGGGCCTTTGTAAAAGAACAAAACAAACAAACAAACAAAAACCCAGAATCCTGTATTAATCACCTCTGCAACCTGAAAGCTAGCACAATCCTAGGGCACAAATGGTGAATGAATGAATGAATGAATGAATACCCAGTAAGGTATACCTATGGGATTTCTGCACATATTTGTATACTTTGTGGAAAAGATACCAACTCAATCTCTGTGAAGTCCCTGAATTCTTCCAACCCTTATTGAGATTTATACATCCTAATTTGGTTATTGAGGAATACAACTTATAAGATATTATCTGCTAAAAACATTGAACAGTTTTAATAGGAAAAGTATAATCCTTCTGAAAAAAAATTAAATGCCTTTCCTTCTTTCACAAATATACAAGTTTTGATCTTATTCAGAAGTCAACACATGCTTGACTTCTGAATGAGAAGTATAGAATCAACCTTCTATTCTACAAAAGATATATTAATATTCTCAAGTTATTTCAAATAATTGTCAATGAAATTTCCTTTAGTGGATCACTTTAGTCAGTGCTCTGAACTTCTTAGAAGCACTTTGCTTCTGTAAAATTTAGAATGAGATTCTCTAAAATAGCTTCTTGAGTTATAGTAAAAGCAACCTTGTAGACTTATGAATTACATAACTAGAATACACAAAAAGGAACAGAGGCACTTTTTGCATGAGTCTATGTTACAGCCTAATAAGTAGGACATAAACAAAATAGGCAATTTATATGGTGCTTAAGAGGTAACATTTTGTGATTTCCAATTCTTAGAGATAAAATTGAATGTTTGATGATTATCTTATTAGACAATAAAGCTATTTATGCTTCTTTCATAATAAACCTTGTTGAGATTTAGAGGAGATAATACTGTTTGGAAGGTGCTCAGTCAGCTGAGATGCATTTGAACACAGATCAATTCTGTGTTCTCTTTTGGGCTAAATAGATGGTACTACTGTGAAATCCAGTGTCATGTGCTAATTCCTGTTATTTGTCAGCAAGGCAAAGCCCGCTAAGAAATGCACCCAGATAGACCCTAGTAATTCTGCTAACTGCCACAACAATTTTCATTTCATTTATTTTCAAATGACACATCATAGCACTGTCACGAATAGAAGAAACTCCTGAATCTAAATACATGTTATTGGACTTAAGAAGAGTTGTTCTATGTTCCACCCTCTCTCCTAAGCCTTTATCCACCCAAGATAAACCCTCAACTTTCACATAAAAGATATATCCTTTACATTTAACAATCCTATCTTTTGAAAACTGTCTCCCAATTGGTTTATTCGAACTTAAAAAATGTAAAAACCACACACAAAAAAAACAAAAAAACAGAAACAAACCATTTTGTTTGTTCCTCAACCCATGACATCACCATGCAAGGATGATTTAGATAATCACAACTAAAACTAATTGACTTCAAATGCTGAACAACATGCAGAAAGCCTATGACAGGCTCTCTCTCCCACTAATCACAACTAAATACACTGGAAAGAATAAAAATAAATAAATACAGCTACCTAAGGACCATGCAAAGTAAGAAAGGTATGTAGACTGTGGAGGGAATCAAAATGTGAAGAAAACCATCCAATAGTGAGTTTATTGTTTGCTTCATTTTTTCTCCCTCTTTTATCTCATTAAATGCGCGCGCACACACACACACACACACACACACACACACACATACCAAAATGCAAATAAATGGAGAGATATACCATGTTTCCAGATTTGAAAAGTATTGTTAAGAAATCAATTCTCACCAAACTGATTTATAGATTAAATTCAATCCCAACCAATATATGAGCAGGATTTTTTCTAGATATGCACAAGCTGATTCTAAAATTTATACAGAGAGCAAAGAAATGAGAATAGATGAAACAATTTTGAAAGGAAAGAACAAAATTGGAGAACTTACTGATTTCAAGACTTACTATTAAGCAAACCATGGGTGGTACTGTACTATTGATAGAAACATAGATCAATAAAATAGAAGAATCTAAAAATAAACTCACACAAATATGCTTAGTAATTTCTAACAAGGATGCAAAGGCAGTCGGTTGGAGAAAGCATAATCTTTTTGAAAACAGTATGGATTAACAGGAACATCTGTATGTAGGTAAATAAATAAGAACCTCACGCATACTTTACACCTTACATAAAAATTAACTCAAAATGGGGCACAGACTTGAATGTAAAATGTAAAACTATAAAACTAAGAGAAGAAAACATAAGAGAAATTCTCTGTGACTTTGAATTGGGCAAAGACTTTGATACCAACCTATAAGCACAAGCAATAAAACAAAAGGCTGTAAATTGGCCCTCAACAAAATTTAAAAGGTATGTTCCATGAAAAATACTATTCAGAGAGTAAGAATAAAAACCACAGATTGGGAGAAGATATTTGGGAGAAGATATATTCTCAAAACTCAAAAAAAAGCCCCATTAAAAATAGGCAACCACATGAAGTGATGCAAAGTATCATTAGTCATCATGAAAAATCAAATTGAAAACTAAAGGGAGAGCCTACTACATACCCATTAGGAAAGTGAAAACAAAAACATCAAAAAAACCTGCCAATTCCAAACACAGAGCAATTGAAAATCTTACATACTGCAGATGGGAATACAAATTATCAGCCATGTAGACAACAGTTGGACAGTTTCTTGTAAAGTTAACATACATTTCACAAGTGACTTAGTAATCTTACTCCTGTGTGCAAATATTTACAGCAGCTCTATATTAATTGTCAAAACTGAAAGCCATCTGGATGAATGCTCTTCAGTTGTTGAAGAGATAAACTGCTACATCCATGAAACAGAATACAACTCAGTGATAAGAAAGAACAAACTTTCTGTATATGCAACATCATCGATGTTAATCAAATACAGAATGTTAAGTACAAAAAGCCAGATTCAAAAGGATACATATTATATGATGCCATTTATACAACATTCTATAAAAGGTAAAACTATAGGGACAAAGAAAAGATTAGTAATTCTGTGGAATTTAAGTTGGAGGAGAGGTTGACTACAGAAGGCCAGCATGAAGGAATGATGTAGGGTAATAGAACTGCCCTGCATCCTGATTGCAGTGGTGGTTACATGACTAGGCATTTGTCAAAACTCATAGAACTCAGAATGAGTGCATTTTTATATAGGTAAATTTTAAAAATTAAAAATTAATACTGCTTCATCAAACATGGTCTGTGAACACACAGGTTCATATCCTACAACTTTTCAGTTCCTCTGTTGTGACCTTGGGTGAATCATCTCATGTTTCTGCACCTGCTTTCTACGCAGAACAACTTTAAATTTAATTAACACAGAAGGTGGAGTAAACAAAACTAAGAAATTAAACTTCTTTGACATCTGTGGGAAAAACAGACTAATGCTACAAAACAAGTCTCCTCTTTGCATACTCAGAGACAAACAGCCCCATCAGGATGGCCTGACAAGACTCCCACTAAATGGATATAGGCTCACAGTTCCTCATTGGTACAATAAGGCAGTTGGACTACACAGCCCCCAAGACTGCTTCTAGAAATAAAATAATTCCATTCTAAGAAATGCTTTGCTGAGTGTGTTCAAACACATTGTCACGTTAAAATCTTCTAAATGTCTAAACATTTCTTATATTTGTGTTTTGTTACTTTTGTCATTTGTTTTCTAATACCATGATTCAAACTTTTCCTGTTTCTTTGATTTAGTCTTCTAGAAAATATATAGTATGAAATAATTTGCATATTTCTTATCTGTTTTAAGTTTATTATTTTGTGAGTTGCCTGTTCGAGCTTTTTGAATATTTTTCTGCTTGAGTGTTACCTCCTGCTATTGGATATTTTGAGACAGATATACAGATATAGATATAGATAGATAACATAGGTATAGATATAGATAAAGTATTCTTATTTTGCTTATTTTCTTTTAAATTTCTTTTTGTATTTATTTTAAGTTTATATTTTTAAACACATTAGTACAGAGAGTTTCACACAACTCCCTCTAAAATTAGCATTTTACAAAACCATAGAATAATATCAAACTAATGTATTAACATTAATGCAATACTATTAACTAAACTACAGACCTTATTAGAATACCACCCATTTATTCACTAATCACCATTTACTGTTCCAGGATCCAATCCAAGATCCCACCTTGCATTTA